GTATCCCCCCTCAGGGATGGTCTGGTCAATAATGACAATTTTTCGATAACTCAGCCATTTCTTGACGGATCCTTCGCATCTTCGAACTCGACCGAGACATTGTTAAGACTGAACTGTGTAGAAAATTTCATCATGATCTGACTCTCCTTTCGAAAGTTATCGTGTAAACGGCCGGCCGGTCGGACGGACGGACAACTGACCGATTCTAGAGTGTCCTCACTTTTTGAGTACACAAAAAAAGAACTATATCATAAGATTCTCTTACTACAAGTCAAATATTGTTTAGTCCTTATGTCGTTTTATTTTATTCTTTTATTTGAATGCAACATATTATTGTAAGATTTCACTAAATAAGCTATAAACAGATTTCTTAATTGAGAATTTTTCTTGTATAGGAATTTTCGAATGGATGATATTTTCTATATGAAATAGAACCGTGGAAAGTATTCACACTGAAAGGTTCAAGTGATGACTCAAAGTATTGAGTTTTTTCAATTAAGAATAATCTCTTTTATTTGTAATTGTGTAAAACATGATCTAAAATGAATGTAGAAGTATAGGGGTAGTAATTTGGATTCACTCCTCCTTCTCCCATGGACTGTGACAGATATAGTCGTTAAAAAAAATCAAAGATCCTACATCAGTAACGTCTCGTGATAATAAATGAACTACTTTCCTATTGTATTTGTAGAAGATTAAGTAAAAAGCTAGCGAGGAAATGTATATCGAAATAGATCGAATACAAAAATCTCTCTCTCTCTGATTAGCAATCTTTCGGACACGGGATTTAAAACTCTAAGAACTCGAACATCTATTTTTGACAGTAAACACACATTGTATATGTCAAAATAAAGATAGGCTTCAGGAGAGCCAATTCAGTATTGGGAGATATGCGGACCCTTCAAGCTTCCATCCTAAGATATTGCAAGAAACAAAATCTGTTATTATCATTCTTTCTATTAAGTTAAATAACTTACCAAATACCAATACGAACTGTTGGTTCAACATCCAAATAAAAATTAAACACACGATCAAGACCAAATTTTTCCGTTTCAGTAAAATTAGTACCTGACTTCACTTTACAGAAAACAGAAATTAAGTATTTATCAAATTAAATATATCTTACAAATATTCAAAAATACAACATGTTTTATAATCGTCGGATGAACAATAAGAACGATTGGTAAAGCCAATGAAGCTAATATATATAAACCCGCTAATATCAAACTTATTTTAATGAAAATTGTGCTATTCGAGAATAAAAAATTAAAAAATATTTTTCAAACTTGGTTTTAATTCACTAACCTAAATCTCGGCCAGCGGCGATTAGAGCTTGATTCAGTCATTTTTTAAAAGAATCTACAAAACAAAAAGATGAGTTTAGTGTTTTAGTCATTGACAAAGACTAAATCATTATGTATTCTTGTAAAAAAAAAACAAATGAGAGAGATGAAGAGATTACTCCAAGATATGACTTATGCAACACGTCAAATGCAATAATTTTCGTTTAGTTTTTGTTTTAAGACGAAGATAAACGCTTAAGAAACGCAATATCACTAAAACGAAGAATAAAAATATTTATCTAAATATAAAAGGTATGTGTTTGTCTCACTTACCTAACTAATTCTTGAAATTTAGGATATGAATAAATATGATTATGTCCACAATTTGCTGAACGTGGAACAGTTATGAGACGAACAGAAGGTAAATTTTTCTCACGATGAATTTTAACATAATTTTCAATCTAAAACAGCAAACAATATATTTTCTCTAAAAAAAAAAATTTTTTTAACAAATTTACTAATTGAGCATGATGATAAGGTACAATAGCATCATCTTCTGAATGAATAATTATAATTGGTAATGGTAAGAATGAAATACTAAAAATGAAAAAAAAAAAAACAATTTAATCAATTTATATGAATATCTATGACGTATACATTTCATTATTTGGAAAATTGATTTTAACAGCTGCTAAAGAATCAAGTGCAGCTTGCATAAAATATGGATTGATTTTTAATATCTAAATGATAAATTAATTCTAACGAGGGAACCTCTTCAAGTATCAAATCATTTTTCGGTCGAGACGATTATCATTTGATGAGTACTAGAATGGTTTCGTTTTCCAAGCCTTCGTTCTCAAGATATCGAAATTTTAATGAACTTTTTAACATAAAGTTATGGCCTCTCTCAAATCACGTAAAAAATTGGCTTTTAATGCCAAAATTTATATGAACAAAGTTCTTAATGAGATTAGTTAATTGTGCAACTAATATTTCCTTTCTGAAGATATAAATATATGAACAAAATTTGCTTTTATGTATGAGAGAATTTCGAATATTTTACATCTCAAGATTGAAGATACTAGAAAAGCTAAAACTTATCCAATAAATTAAGTTTTTTTTCTGAACTGCGTTTCTGCAAAATTCGAAAGTGAATTTTACACGTGACTTGGGAGAATTACAGCTTCTTATTGAACACCCCGTAAAATTTCGATACCCCAAGAACGAAGGCTCAGAAAGACAAACTATTCTAAAGTTTTACATTACTCATTAGTACTTATCAAAATGAACATCATCTCAGTTGAAAATCGATTTGATACCTAGTGAGGTGCTCTCGTAAGTAGATGAAGATTAAAACATACTCGTGTAACTGGATATGAAATAAGAGCTTGAATTGTATTATAAAATGGTGCTTCGAGTACAAGACCTGATGGTTTTTTTAAATCTAAAATATTCGAAAAAAAGGAAATATATAATTTCTGCAATAAAGAGAAATTTCTATACTAGGATAGTTTTGAAATAAATCATTCATTGTCCACAATGCAACACCAGTACCCATTGAATGACCCCATAGAGTTACTGGATTTTCAGGACAAACTTGACGAATTATATTAAAGACATGTATTACATCATGAACAAAACCCTGTACACTTGGTATACCAGTTGAATCACCATAACCACGATAATCAAGAGTAATAATGTGATTACCAAAAGCACTCATTACTCTATAATGATTTGATCGATAATGTGTTGCTCTAAAATAAATGTTTAATTTTATATATTTTGAAATTTATTTTCATGTTCATTTACCTTGTACCATCTTGTCCATGTAAATATATAATTATAGGAAGGTCATCAGATTTGACATATTGTTTAAGATGATCAGCAAGTGTTGATAAACTATGATCAATAGTGATAGTGAATGGCAATATATACCTAAATAACATAGAAATCATAACCAGAGTTTACTTAAAAATAAGAAGGTTTTTTCTTATTGAACCGAAAAGATCAAGATGTATCCATCAGTCAGTATTCGGACTTCATAAAGATTATCATTTATTAACAAGACTTTTCATGAATAAATTATTTCCTAGTCTATGTCAAAGAATTACATAGATTATTATTTGCAGTATACACTATATTTGCTTTATGTATCGATGAAGAGTATATGGAACTTAGAAAATGCGTGTATAGTAGAGCTTTCTAGTTTTTATCATTTGCAAGATGTTTATATTTTCCTTGAGAAAACGAGATCACTTCAGAATGGGTAATTCATATCGAAGTTTAATTGATTTCATACCTTCGAAAAGACTCGAATTATAGATTTTAAAATTTAAATTTCAAGTCAGTCGGAATTTCATCTTAACTATCGAAATCTTTTCATTGTCATTTGAAGAAATCTGAATGAATTTCAAGTTTTATTTCAAATAAATTGATAAGACAATTCTGTTTCATTTGAAATTCCAGCAAGAACAATCAAAAATTTTTCTTAATCTTATATAAAACCTTCAGTATTCTCTTCTTTTTTTTCTGTTTATTCATTGAAAATCATATACATTATTTCTAAATGTCATTATTTAAAATTTATCTTACCATATTCCAATTCTAACATTTGGTTCTGTTTGTTCATAAACATTAACAGCATTTAATCTAAATGCATCTGGTTTTGTCAAATCAATCCATGGATAATATCGAACTAATCAAACTAAAATATATCAAAACCAAATAAGAATTATGATAATATTTACCCCAAGTTTGAAAAAACATTTTTGTTAAAATAACATCGCCATACAGCCGAAGGAAAATTGGGCTTAATACAATCAATGATGTAATTACAATAATCATACTCACAATCCATCGTATGAAACTAAATATTAAAAAAAATATTCGCTAACTTAAGAAGTAACTATTTATTTGTTTTTACATTTTTTTCAAAAATGAGAATTTTGATTTTTTCTTTTTTTGTTCTACTATAGTCATCGATCTGGAAGAGAATAGAAAGATTAATAAAACTAAAACTGTGCAAAAAAAAAACGACACTTTTATTAATATTTTTGCTAAAATACATATATTAAAAAAATTATTTTTTTTAAATTGCTTCTAAAATGAGATTAGGTATATCAAAAGTTTGATCATCACAGAGAACAATATCATAAACATTTTTATAAACTTCTAATTTTGTAGGGGTACTATGATTTAAATATCCAATTTTCAGTACATGCTTTAAATTTTTCATTCCACCAATCATCCCAACATCACCAAGAGTATCACCCAAAAGAATAACATTTGGACGATTAAGAATTGATTGATAATAAGATGTATTGTGAATTTCTTGTTCATTTTTATTAAATGTATGAATAAGTTTTTTACTAAATGATATTGAATTACCATCTGCATCAAATTCAATAAAATTTGAAACAACGTGTGATAATTCATGATTATGTTTAAATTCAGGAATTTCTTTTTCGAGAAAAACTTCAATAACATCACCTAAAATTCAACATTTATATCAAATAATTAATTAAGAAGAATTGCTTTACCTAGACCGGCTGAAAAAATGAGAATCGGAGTATTACTGTGTAATAAATCAGTAATGAATTTTCTTACACCTTTTTTTAATTCCATTTTTGATTGATAAACTACATTATGTAGCATTGATTTATCAAGATTTGATGAAATAATAAGAGATTGAGCTTTATGCCACCATTCAATCATGTAAGGAAGTTTTTCTTCCACATTCATTGAAACATCATGTTCTATTGGCATATATTTTGAACGTAATTGATCAGCTTGAATACGAAGTAATGAACCATTGGGTAACTATATGAAATCAATTTCAAAATTAGTCAATTGATAATTTATTCTCGATAAGAATTTAGTTATCAATGTTTTTAAAATTTTTAGACGATTTTTTTGATCATCCATATAGAAAACTCCTATTTTATGTTTCAAACGAACTAGCAAAATTCTAGATAGAATATTATTGTATGCATTTATTTAAAATAATCAAATATTTGATATACTATATTTATCAAAAATTGTAAAAAGATTAAAATACAATGATTAAAATGAAGGAGTATTAATATGATTTGCTTTGTACTTTTTTTTTACTCCATAACTGATTTTCAAACGCAAATATTTGACAACATGAAGAATTAATATTGTCTTTAGTTCAAACATATTCAATTCACAATATTTGTTCTACTTATCTTGACTATTGGATGATTTCCAGCAAATGATTTGAATTTCATTTATTGCATGTTTAATTACTATTATCGAGATTATTCTAACTATTCATAAATTCTTTAGTCTACATAACTAATATTCAATATCGAAGTCATGATATGAGAACGTCATGCGGCCCCGTAAATCATGCTTAGCTATACGTGTATACTTAAGTTTATCTTTGTTTAATATATGCGGAAGGACTTCAACACAATGCTTGAAATCGATTCAGTTAAATGCAAAGTTTGCAATAGTCATCGATTAGAACGAGTTTATCATAGCTTATACTGAAATAAGCTTTTCCTTTATGATAAACGTTCACCATATGACTTTTGTTATGTATTATGACTAAGATCTCTGAAGATTCTGTTCTGGACGATTAAGTAACATTAGAACAGACCTATTTGCATGTGAATTAATGGGAATGAAAGAAACCTAAGATATATCAAAAGTAATGATACTGATACGATAATATCGTATACATAGCTCTAGAAAGATTTTTCTGTATACATATAGATGATCCAAACAGTGTTCTATACATTCTTTCCATATTTCATCATTCTGTTCTTATGGTGAAGGTCAGTTTGCACTTACACATTCGCCAGTTGTATATGAGGATTGTCACTAATAACACAATGATCTTTGTTCAATATTTTCAGATGTTGTCTCGACTTACATCTTGAGGGTTGAACTTCGTGTTTAATCTCTTATCGGTTTTCATTGAATCATTTCGATCATGTTTCAAGTTTTCTGCAGGTTGGACTGTAATTGTCAACAACAGAGCATAGCTCTGCTTGTATAACTTTCACTTAAAAAGATAGTGCAATGCACACTTCATTATCGAAGTTGACATTTTTCTTATGCATTTAAAAAGAAAGAAAGATGAACAACTTTCATCGAAACTTTTTCAAAATTATGATGTCAATTGAAGAATGATGATATATTGAAGAAATATAAAGCACTGCTTGCATTATTAATGGATATTAAGAGAAGCTCTCTTGAAGTTTTCTATAAGCTTGTCAACATCATTATTTTGATAAATTCTAAGTATCATGTATATACTTTTAATATTTGATTTAAACTCCTTTTGATATCATTGAAATAATTTGCAGATTTAAAATGTTCCTAAATTCTTACTGTAACTCGATTGTCGCCTTCAATAACAGCAAATGTCGATGGTAAAGCAACTCCATTTTTTTCATACATAGTTAATGTAAAATCAAAATCAGCTACAACATGTAACTTTTTCCGTTCATCATTTATTAATGAACGAATAGTTTGTTCAACATAAACTCGTTTATCATTATGTATATGAACATGTGAATTAAGTTCAAGAAGATTTTCAAGAAAATTCATTTATCTAAAAATATCAATCAAAAAGATTACAAAATACAAAATGATTATTACGAAATTGTGTTCTTTTTTTTTCACTATCAAAACAAACCAATAAAAAGAAAAATATTAGACCACCGGAAGCAGTTTTCATTATTACAAAGCTGTTGTTGTTATTGCATTATCATCATCATCATCATCATCATTAACTTTATTTAATGATTTTTTTGATTCTAATATTGAAGTAAGTAATGCTCGATAATTTTCATAAAATTGAACACGAACAAAGTTTTCATCTCGATATAATTTTGTCATCATTGAATCAAATGATTCAAGTTCGGATAAACTAAATAAATGCCATTGAAGAAGAATATCATTAGATGATGATGCTTTGGAATAAACATGTAAAAATGATGGAATTGGTCGTCTTAATAATGGATTTGGAGGTACAATAGGTTTTTTTGCTGATTCACGATTGTTTACAGTCAGACTAAAATAAAAAGAAAATGAAAGTATTTTGCTTCTATTTTCTTTTTGGTCTTAAATTTACTCTGATTGTCGTTGAAAACGTCTTTGTGGAAGTAGATTTTGTTCGTGTTTATCAGTATCATTTGAATCATTAGTATTTTCTTCTTCTTCATTAACTGTATCAGTTTTATTTATATGAGGTGTTAATCGACGATGAGTTTTTTCAATTGATCGACCGGCTTCTTCAACACTTTTTCTAATAAAAAGAAATTTAGTTTAATTGAAGGGAGGAAGAGGCGCATAATAGATCAAATCGGCCCACTAGTGCTTATCTTGACCAACTCCATTGAATCCTATATGAATGGAACGAGCATTTTTAGGTTAACATTTTAGTTCTATTTTCTTTTGAGAATTTGGTCGAATTTTGAAATCTATAAATTAATAACGCTGGATTCAATTTGAGAATAGACAGACAAAATAAAACACTACTGAAATTATGAATCTGATGCCTCTTTGATGGAACTTCAATCATATATATAAAAGATCAATTGATTATTTTACTTAACAAAATATAGGTTCAATGTACTAATGGCCACGCCAGAAGTAGATGGGGAAAACTCTAGGAGGAATATCTCCTGAACGGATGCAGCTAGCGACCTGCGATTTTCACCATTAGAAAGAAAAATCCAGGGGCATCAATACATGGTAAAATATAATTGGCCAGCAATGAACTAATCAGATACATTCTCGACGGACATGTTGAGCACGATATTCTGGAGCTATTTCTCAACTTTGCTGAAGTATTTATTTATGTTTTTGATGGAAAAAATTGTTCTCTTTTGATCTACGAGAGACCCGTCTTTCTCGCTTGTTTCTTCAGGAGTTATAAGGATTTTCCTGAGACCCCTGATTTCAGCCAACTGACCTTGGATCACCCAGAAAACAGTCTGGATGGGGTAATTCATCATGCTGAGCCGAATGGTGATATTTGTTTTTAGATTCGAAATCAGCTTACAATGCTTTTTACAGATTTTTTAAATTTCATAGTATCCACCGCTACGTATCACACAAGTCCACATTCCGTAAATATTGAGATAACACCGTAAGCTGATTTCGAATCTAAAAACAAATATCACCATTCAACTCAGCATGATGAATTACCCCATCCAGACTGTTTTCTGGGTGATCCAAGGTCAGTTGGCTGAAATCAGAGGTCTCAGGAAAACCCTTATAACTCTTGAACGAAGCAAGCTAGAAAGACGGGCCTCTCGTAGATCGAAAGAGAACAATTTTTTCCATCAAAAACATATATAAATAATTCAGTAAAGTTGAGAAATAGCTCCAGAATATCGTGCTCAACATGTCCGTCGAGAATGCATCTGATTGGTTCATTGCTGACCAATTATATTTTACCATGTATTGATGCCCCTGGATTTTTCTTTCTAATGGTGAAAACCGCAGGTCGCTAGCTGCATGCGTTCAGGAGATATTCCTCCTAGAGTTTTCCCCATCTACTTCTGGCGCGGACATTAGTACACACTATTAGCATATTTATTGTATTTATTAACAACTCTTGTCTTTCAATAAATATTTGAATTTTAAAATTAAACTGTCTACTTGAAAAATCTTTTAGTACAATCTTCTCTAGGCGCAGTTTGATATCTTTTTAATCAATATTTGTAAGATTTCGTTCCGAAAATTTCAAATTGAGTGAAAACTAATGTGATATATCGAATCAGCATGAAAAGCTAAGTAATTTTGTATGTGATGTAAAGAATTTGGGGAATCTTCTTTTTAGTCGAAAAACTTGTCTATGCTACTCCTCAGGAGTCAGGCAAAAAATGAACTCTTTGAAAACTTTGCTTTTATTTTCTAGATATCTGCCATTTTACAATTTTAAACATATTTTGAGGTATTATTATAATATACAGATGATGTTTTGATGCACGATACTTTTCGTTTAATCTCTGAAGGGGATCAGTGGCAACTTTTTTGACAAAAAAAGCTACCAGTAGTTCTTTAAATCACATATGGAATAATTCAGATTTTTATAATGGTTCGGAATATCATATTAGTTTTCACTGACATTGAACTTTTTCTGATCGAGATTTTATAAATATAGATCAAAAAGACAAAAATGCATCTTGAGAAGAGTACGCTTAAGAGTTCTTCAGATAGTCAGATTCTTTTGACTTTGAAAACTATATGATTTTGTAGCTTCTTAAAAGTGCTATCAAATGAGTAACATTAGAATTTAGGCAATTTTAATTTTTTGATATTAAAATATTTGTTGAAAAATAATAATCGTTGATAAATACAGTAAATATGCTAATAATGTCTACTATATACTGTATAAAAGCTATATCTCGTTCAATTACATAATCAATTGATGATTTATATATGAAATTCAAACTCCATCAAAGAGCTATCAATTTTATTATTTTGTCTTGTCTGCTCATTCTCACATTGAATTCAACGTGATACGCAGGATAGATTATTAAAATAATGACCGAAAATGTGTCACTTTGTTAATAACTTTCAGATTTCAAAATTTGATCAAAGTCTCATGAAACTAGTACTAAAATGTTAGTTGCAATATGTACTTTCAATTGAGATATGATTCGATGAAGTTGATCAAGAAAAGTATTACTGAATCGATTTGACTTCTTATGTACTGTCTTTCTTGAAAGTATTGATTCTTACTTGACAGGATCACTAAATGCTTTACGTTTTTGTTGTTGATGTCGATTTTTTCCACCATCTTTACCATAAAGTAAACGAGAAAATTCACGATCAAAACCAGCTTGTGGTGGATTTGTTTGAGAATAATTTGGACGATTAATTGATGATAATGCCGAATGTGAACGTTCGATATTTGATGTTGGTAATTCATAACGCGGAGGTGGAGGTCGAATAGGAGTATTCATCATAATAGATGAAGAAGATGTTGACAGAGTTACTGGTGAATTTCCTGGTAATAGCTGCTGAGTTATTTGAGATTCAGTATAAATCTGTTTCGGTATTGATGATGGTACAGGAGATCGAATCAAATGTTGACCCAGATTATTTGCTAATATAAAAAGAATAAATTTATTTATGAAGAAAAAGTTCTACATACAGGATGAAGGTGGTCGATGACCACTAGCTATGCTAAGTGAATAAGAAGGAGGCGGTGGTCGATTTCTATTTTGTTCATGTAATACAAGTGATGGAGGAGTAGAAATAAGAAATTGATTGCTTTGAGGAGTATTCCATCTTAATGGTGATGGATGAATATAATAACCTATATTGTTGTTTGCATGAGCAGATGGTTGTGCTTCGATAGTTGTTGGCACTTTAACTTTAGAATAATAAGTAGCAAGAATTTCATCAACGGTTAATGGTGGTTTTGGTTGTTGTTGTAATTGTTCTTCTTCTTTTTGCTCTTGTTTTAACTCATCTTCTTGTTTCATTCGTGGAACAACATTATGTTGTTCAAGTAATTGTTCAAGTGAAGGTGAATAATAAAGTCGTTCTTTATTTATTTGATGTTTCGAAGTCGATTTATTAATTGGTACTGGTTTTACATCTGAACGAGTGTCAATAATTAATGATTTAACATTTGTAGAATATGATTGTTTATCTATAGTTGTATTTATTGAAGATAAATCATTATATGAACGAGCTGCTAAAACTCTAGAAGATGGTACTTCTCCTATACCTGTTGAAGCATGTGTTGTAGATGATATTGTTGCTTGTCGTAATTGACCAAATGTAATTGGTTGAGATTTAGATTCAATATATGATGGTAAAAGTTTTGGTGATGTTGGAGGTGATATAGGACCACTATTACCACCTCGCTTTTTTAATGTTTCAAGCATTGTTACAATACGTCGATGAAATAATCTCGAATGAACACGTGACGAATCAATAGTTGTTGCATCAGGCGAAGTTGATAATGTTGGATCATTTTGAGATGGTTGTGTTATATTTATTATAGGTTCATTTTCATTATTTATTCTTGTTGATGAAGGTGTTATTGATGATGATTCAGAAGAAGCAAGTAATTCAACCATTTTAGCATTAAATCGATTCGTATTTGTTCCAGATCGAAAACCTATTCGATATATTAGAACCGTTATTTAAAATATTATGTCAAACATAATATTATTTTTCAATTCATTGTGATTCAAGAAAAAAAAACAATCTTTAATTTTGATAGATTTATAGAATATAATAACAATGATATGACTGAGTAATGTTTTTCTTGATTGTTTTTTTTTGTCAGAACCATATGTCAAGAAATCTAATCAATCAAAATGTTTGAAAATCATAATTTTAAGAATCAAAATCATAGTGAACATTTTTATACAAAATAATTCATTGATTAATTTTATAGTTTAATAGAAGATTTTTATTATGTAGAGACAAACCTGATGCTGATGGTGGCTCATCTCTCGGAATAAATTTTCCGGGAATATTGCTCTGAAGTGTAACTTGTTTCTTTTTTGGCATCAAATTTTATCTAGAATATATAAACAAACAAAAATATGTATCGCGTTTTCTTTTATTTTATTAGATTGAATATATTAGAATTTAAAAATAAATTTTAATCTTTAACAGTATATGTACGTTTTGGAAAAATACATTTATTTTTTTGCGTTTTAGCTAAACTTATTGATTCTTCTTTAGATGTTAATAATCGTCTCATAGCTCGTGTTTGCTTTGGTCTTAAATCTTTTGGTTTATATTTTTCTCCATGATAAAATTCTCTTAAATTCTCCTTTGTTGTTTGATTTTGAACAATATGTACATTCACAATTGATTTTCGAATGTTTTCAATTTTATTCAAATTTTTTCCTCCTATTTTTAATGTATTTAATTCTTCATGTAAATTGTTTAGTAGAATTTCGAGTTCATCTAAATATACAAAAAATAAATTTAATTGAAACAAGAATAACTTGTTTACTTGGACTTTTGCCCCGAATTTGACAACATGTAACTTGTGCCATTGAAACTAAAATGAATGTATATGCATATGTGTCGAAAAATGAATCATTTGTATTGAAAAAATCAATCGATAGATGGCACTATAAGATCATTTGATTGGTGTATAGTTAACTCTCTAATGAAACAAAACAAACATTCATTTATTATTATTCAGGAATAATAAAATTGAGAAAAATGGATATGGAAAATATTCGTCAAGTACTTGAAGATGCTGCTCAAATATTTTTATCAGCTGCAAATACAATTACAAATGAAAGACGTCGCGAAGCTGAAAAAGTCAATAAAAAGAATTCCTTTTTTTTGTTTTCTTCAAATATCTTCAATTGAAAATGTGTTTTGTTTTCTTCCATCAGGTTTTTTTACAATTTCGTCGTTCACAATTTTCACTTGATTTATATCGTTATTTAATTGAACATTCATCATCAAGTTATGTTGTTTATCAAACATTAACAGCACTTCGTGAAGGTATTGTTAAAGAATGGTCATCATTAGACGATGCACTAAAAGAACAAGTTGTACAGTATCTTTTATCATATGTTTATACACATTATTCAACATTATCTGCACATGTACGAGAACAAGCTTTACAAATATTAGTTGTTATTAATAAACGACGAAAAGCACAACGTGCACAAATGGCTAAAAATGGTTTTACTGTTAGTTTAGCATTAATTAATTTATTACAATCAACAAATAACCAAGAATTTGAATTTGGTTTAACATTACTTAATGCATTTATCAATGAATATAGTTTTAGTAATGGTAAATAATTTAAAAAGAAAAACAGAATATTTGTAGAATTATAAATTTCACAGATAAAATTTGTGAAAGTTAATAGTAAAATCAAGTTGTTTTTTTTTATTGACATACTGATAGATATTGTAAATAGGATCAGGCAATAATAGATTAATTATTTAGTAAAAATTTTAAAGAATGTTGTTTGTAATAGAATCTCAAAAAGTCAGAAATTAATTGTGTTACACTTCGAGGAAATTATAACTAATAGAATAATTGAGGATTGAATTGTCTCTGAATGATATCAGTGTATAAAAAAAAAATATTTTGAGTTCTTTATAGTTTATTGAAACTAAAATTTCAGGTAGAATTTAGATTTTGAATGAAGTTTAGCGTTGAATATTGATACATATTAAAGTAGAAATACAGCAATCAAGATTTTGTTTGATATAACTAGTTGTCTTTATGGTAGATCTATCGGAATAATAGAAAAAAAAAAGGTCATTATTGTCAATTCCGTTGAGATTTGTATGATCAATGAGATAACTACTTCTCAAGATAATCGAAATTTTCAGTTCTATCGAACAGAAATAAGAAGATATTATGCTACTCTATAAATTACTTTTCTATCGTTTGAATGAATCCTGAGTTCGTTCTGCTTTAATGATATTATTCTAATTGCGGTGTTTAGCTCATTGGATCTGATGACACATACATTGTACCATCTACTTTGTAGCAGAGTAAGAAGCATTTGTACTCTAAACCAAGCCGTTATGACCTGATTTGGGAGGCTAGAAAGATTATAGATGGCTCCATCTATTATCTTATGTATATCTATGTTGGTATCAGAATACAAAGAAGAGTAGAGAGAGTATCCTGAGTTTAGTAGGTTCACTAACGAGGGAGTCTCATTAGATACTACATAGTATTCAGATGAAAATCTTGAAAGGATTTGTGTTGCTATTGATATCTGACTGAGCTATCGAATTTTTATCTGAAGTTTTGTGCATATAGAGGACTCCATTAGACTAGCTTTCATAAGAGAATTCAAAGGGTTTTGAACAAAGTCTCATCGAGATATAAAACTTTCAAAAGATGTCTATTGTATGCACTATCCATTGAATAGAGTCAATATCTTGAAAGTCTCCTATTTCTAAGAGTCTTTGTTTAAAACTACTTTATTTTTTATGGAAACTAGTCTAGCAGAGTTCTCTATATATGTATAGTTTCAGATCAAAATTAAAAAATATGAGTTTTCTGAAAGCTTTCATCATCTAGAAGAAAATTCGATAGCTTAATCACTTCTCAATAAGAAGCTAAATCCTTTTGGAGTTTTTATTGCAACACTTTGTAGTACCTGTTGGCAAAAAGTCATTGAAAACGAAAGGAAACATTTGAAGAAGTTCTCTCGTAATTTATCTATTCTCTCTTTCTTTCTATGATAAAATTTTTACGTAATCGTTTTAATTCACATGAAGCAAATTGGTTCAAGAACTATTTCTCAATAATAAAGTAATTCCGACTTTTCCAGAGGTCGATGTCCATTGACTTATCACTCAACCAACGTTCTTTATTACTCAGCATTCTCATAGTGAGCTAACATTTCATAAAACAAGATGTGTTTTATTGTGTCGGATACAAATTACATTTCCGAAAAGGTGATATAATACTCCAAAAAGGCAAACACCTTGCTAAAGCACTGATTTCAAAAGGATTCTCATTGAGAAGATCATCGAAAAAAATTTCTATATGTATTTTAGCTAATGAAGCGGGATTAACCATTGAACAACGTCATTCTGTAAAACGAGATTTTGAAGAAAATGAATTGAAAACAGTTTTTGAATTATTATTAAATAAACTTCAAAGTAATCTTTCATCAATATCATCATCTAATCATCAATTATTTTCATCAATATTAACAACTATTGAAAAAATTCTATTATGGAATTTTTCATCATCATTTCCAAATACACGTCGTACTATGGAATCATCAAGTAATGTTGAAACAATTGATTGGAGACCACCAATTAGTTGGAAACAATTAGTGTTTGATCAACAACTTGTCGAATTCTTTTTTCATATTTATGCTACGCTTAAATCAATGGTAAGATTTATTTGAATTTTTGTATGTTTTATTGAAAATTTTCAATTCGATTTTAGAATGAAACTAAAATTCTATTGCAACGTCGTTGTCAGATACTTCGGTAAATAATATATATATTTTTTTTTAATATTATTTAATAATTTAAAATTTTAGTTGTCTTTCTCAATTGGCTTGTTTAAATGGTCCATTAGTTAGTGATGAACAATGTCGTTTACGTTATTTAACAACATTTTCATATTATTTTGTTCAAACATTTTTAATAAATTCAACATTAACAATTAATTTAATTGAATGTTTTGATATTTCAAATATAATATCAAATTTAATAACATTATTTACTGTAAAAGGTTTTTGTTCAATGAATAATGATTTATGTAATTCATTTTTACAATTAATGTCACAAATAACAATACTTCTATGTCGTACAACAATAACATCATCAAATAATCAATTAGATAAAATAATTGAAGATCCAACAATAGCTAAAGAAACATTTGATCGTTTATTACAAGCTTGGTCAAGATTATTATATGGAATTGATTTTGGAAGATTTGCTAATTTAAGATCATTAGCTATTGAAATATTTGATACTTATCTTCAAACACATTTACATATTAATGATAATCATGAAGTTAATGATTTTAATTTAGCTGATAATGATAATGATGAAGATGATAGAGATTTATTTAGGTAAATAAAATTATTTTTTTAAGAAAAAAAAAAATCGAATTCATTAAATATGTATGGTATCAGTAATAGCTTAAATTTAGACATAAAATGCTTTATTTCGTATACATTAATTCTTTGCTGATGTCCTCACTTCGAAATTTCGTTGCTGTTCTGAAGTTCGTCTGTATCCATCCATAGAAAATTACAAAAAAATCGATATTTTTGTTTTACAATGGTTGCAAAAAGACTCGCTACCAGGTAAAAAGCACCTAAAATTTAGTTCTTTAGTCTCATAGTTTGACCATCAATAGAGAATGTTGAAATATGATCTCAAGGATTAATGAGGACTTCATTGCGGAGGAACTAGAAGGTCCAGATTAATGCATTTAAATAGTGAAAAACTGGTAAAGTGACAAAAAAGTCTTTGCGCTCTGTAGAGCAAGAAAAAAGTGTTGTTATCATAAATCCTTTGCATTCAGACTGATTGATCTTGGATTACTGTTTGCAATCAGAGTTTACACTGACTTCGATTTCTACTCAAAGTGTCAGGCAAAATAATTGATGTTTATGTATCTTTTACCTAGTAGCGAGACTTTTCGAGATCACTATTTTTAAGCTATTCATTTAAGTACTATAGGTTGTGAAATGGAATGTACTGAGAAATGTCGAAAAGAAAAATGTCGAAAGGAAAAATGTCGAAAGCAAAATGTCGAAAGTAAAAATGTCGAAAAGTAAAAATGTCGAAAGGAAAAATGTCGAAAAGTTAAAATGTCGAAATGAAAAATGTCGAAAAGTTAAAATGTCGAAATGAAAAATGTCGAAAGGAAAATTGTCGGAAACTAAAAATAATAAAGAGCATGAGACACAACTATTAATTAACTTAATAGCATGTACAATACAAAATTTTATCATAGAATATAGATAGGGATAAATTAATCACCACTTCCTCTGGAACAAAAAGAGAAGAGTTATAATGATTAGAAGTTAAGCTTATAAAGTCTAATTATCAGACGAATTGATCAAAGAAATGGCAAGAGTATATACAAGAATGTCTAGTCTTATAAATACTGTGATGAATCGTATTTTTAACACTCATTCGTACTCTTATAAAACGATATATAAAATACTATGGCAAGTACAATGTCATTTATTACAAGCAATAAAGGCAAACCATTGTTAGTTCGTGATAGTTACATTTATTATGTTAGTAAAACAACAGCTACAGTTAAATATTGGAAATGTGAAGATCGTAGTTGCAATGCCGGTGTTCATACAAATACTAAGGATGCATTTATAAAAACAGTTGGTATTCATTCACATTTACAATCACCTGAAAACATTGAAGTTCGTACATTTAAAGAAAATATAAAACGTCGAGTTATAAATGAAACAACAGCAATAACTAAAATTTATGATGAAGAACTTGCTCGGCAACAAATGTCACAAACAGCAGCTGCTATTATGCCGTCATCATATGAAGCAAGTATGTATACATTTTATATTCATTTTTGTCAGAATTTTCTGAATTACTAAATTAATCTCAGATTCAGGTTTAAATCGTGCACGTAGAAAAATGACGCCAGTATTACCAACATCATATGCATTTGATATACCAGCTCAATACCAAGTTACAATTAATGACGTTCAGTTTGTATTATGTGATGAAACATTACATAATAAACGTTTACTACTATTTAGTACAGATCAGCAATTAACGTTTCTGTTTTCTGCCAAACATATTATGATGGATGGTACATTTGATACATGTCCACCCTATTTTGATCAAGTTTACACTATTCATGCTATTAAACATGAAAAAGGTACGAGAACTTTTCTTAGTGAAGTCACTCATTTTGTTATTAATACTTTTTTAAGGTTATCCATGTGTCATTGGTTTATTATGTGATCGTAAAGCTCGTACTTATAGAGAATTATTTCGTGAATTGAAACATCATGCTACACGTTTAAAAACAACATTTAATCCAAATACAATAACAAGTGATTTCGAAAAGGCTTTAATCAAAGCTGTTGTTGATGAAGTAAGAGTTTTTACTCAACTACCTAAAGCAGTAGAAATGAACGGCTTTTTCAATCTCCTTGTTTTAGTTCCCACAAGCACGACATGCCGGCTGCTATTTTCATTTTACACAGGCTCTTTATCGTAATATACAAAAACTTGGTTTATCAACAGCATATCGTGATACTGAAACTACAAGAATGGTATGTCGAAAATTAATGGCATTACCATTATTACAATTAAACGATGTTAAATTGGCATTTGAAGATTTAAAAGATGATTCACCTATTATATTACGAGATTTATTTAATTATTTTGAAAATTTTTGGATGACAGACATTCCGCTTCATCTTTGGAATGTATCTGATCTTCAAATTCGAACAAATAATAATTGTGAAGGTATTTATACACACTCGCTTTCTTTACTAACATAGCTCTTTCAAAAAAACCGCTGAAAAAAACATAATCTTCGGCTAACTTTTCTTACGTTTATCATAAACCTTATTTTCTTCTCGGTCTCTAGGTTGGCACAATAGATTCAATACTCGTGTGAATAAACATCATCCAAATATATGGCACTTTATCAATTGTTTGAAACAAGAAGAGGTATATTTTCGTCATCAAGTAATACAAATGCGAGCTGGTGCAACTGGCAGACCAAAAACAAAAAGAACAAATTGTGTACAACGTCGTATTACTACTCTTGCTGATCATTATTCAAATGATGAAATCAATTTAGGAGAATATTTAGAGGGTTTATCGTATGTTGTTGCTAAGGATAAAACAATCAAAAATAATAAAAAATGATTGATTATTAGATATTTTTTGTTAAATTATTGTTTTTGTAAATTGATTAAAAAACTAGTTTCGCCGATTTTTCCTTTCCCCTACAACATTAACACTACTAAGATCTTACTTTTGCAGCCTTCAAACTTTTCGACATTTTTCCTTTCGACATTTTTCCTTTTCGACATTTTTACTTTCGACATTTTTACTTTTCGACATTTTTCCTTTCGACATTTTTCCTTTCGACATTTTTTTTTCGACATTAATCAGGCATACCGTGAAATGCTCTTTTTTGTAAAGATTTATGCGTCAGTTTTCATACACGTAACATAAAGACATAGAATATTTAAAAATTAAGTTCAGATTGTATGTTATTAATATCCAATTTCATAGAACACTAATTTTTGAATGAATTTGTCAAATTACAGACGAATAATAAATCATTGATTATTCTTCTAGGTGTAAACGAATTGCTGTTGAATTAATGTCACCGAATTTTATATTTATACGAAAAAAAGTTTACTTCTACGTAATTGATCATGTAGAATATTCTACACCGTACATTTGAAATGCGAGTAATGTCTGCTGTTTGCTGAATTGTGATTCGATTATCATACCATGTAAAAATAGTATTGAGTAGTAAAGTGATACTCATCATCAACTGTAATAAATATTAGACAAAACACAGACTTTCAGAAAAAGAAATTTTATCGGTGAATGATGTTTTTTCTGATTTTTTTTTTGTCAGTTTATATTGAGTGATAGAAAGTGAAGTGCTATATTTTTATTGATATCTTTCATTTAACAGAGCTTATGGTATCTATGAATAGAAGGTTTCTATAAAAGATTGAGTTATATCAATATTGATATAACAGTGCTTGTTATTAGATTTCACATAAAAATTAGTTCGACAACTTTTTGAACATCCTATAATATTATTATGTTTTTGTTTAGTGAACAATTAATATGTATTGGTCTCTTTGGTCGACATATAATTGATTATGCTTTACCATTATTAATACGTTTATTAATTGATCGAACACGAAAATTATATAATATGATGAATAATAATTCATCAAATATCAATACAAATATTTTAGATCGAATAAATGATGATTTACATTGGTTATTATTAATATGTGGTCATGTGTTAACAGAAGAATATGATTCTGATGAACAAAAAACAATACCTGAAGCTGTCATGAATTTTTCCAATGAACAAGTTAAATATTGTGATTTAAATAAATGTGTTCAAATAGCTCAACATATTCTTCAACAATCACAATTAGATTTAAGTGATGAAATAATGCATGGCGTTAGTCCTGTTACACAATGGTAAAATTAAATAGAGTTAATTTAAGAACATCAATCCAACTCTTTTTTTGTTTTTATACTTTTTAGTTTAGTAGCTGTATTAAAATTATCTGAAACTGAACGACATTTATGTAATAAAGGACAATTTGAATATATTAGTGTTCAAGTTGCTGTTAGTCTTACTTGGTTTATTCGACGATTAGCTGCAAATTATTTAGGTTTTGATGAACAATCATATAAAGATGGTAAATCATAATCTTTAACGATCGATAGGCGAATCGAATCTTTACTTTTCAATTCATCAGATTGAAAATTTTACGGTTGATAAAAATTTTATTTTTGTTTAGCCTTTTACTTTCTGTTAGGTTATTTTTGACACAAACTTATAAATAACACGGTCTTCATGCTAAGAACTTTTATTAGTACTAATAGTTAGTCAACACAAATATTCAATGGTCATGTTTAAGTATCCTCTTATTGACAAAACATAGAAATCTACAATTTTCGTTATGGCTTTACATCTGGCCGAGACTTTAACAATAGAAATAAGTGATTTCGAATCGAAATCATAACTAACGATACCGATACGATACAAAAAATGAAAGATTTAATTTCAATCATAAAATAGCCGCTGTTGTAAGTAGGTCTCCAGCTTTATACATATAAGTTGACGGCATAAAGACGGAAAAACGCGTAAAATAATCAAATTAACAATAAATTCAATTTTTTACATCATTGAAGATGAATGGGTCATTCATGAGCCATTTTCTACAGTGAAATGGCTTGGATGAAAATTAATCATATCAGTGTAATCTTGAAGAGCTTTTTTTTGTCTCCATCGATATTATGAAATTACTTGAAAATATTATAAGTTATATATTTAACAACTACAGATTAGACAAGAAGATACTAAATCAAAATCTATCTCATAAAATTAATTCAAAATGTACAAGAATGAAATTCATATCTGGTCTATTAAAAAAAAATCAATTTGTGTTCTTATAGAATTCATATTAAAGAAAATTTAATTATCGAACTCGAGACAGAAATATAAGTATTTCCTATTTGAAAAATATTCTATTTATGAAATTGTTCAACTTTCCTTGTAAAATATGACACTGAATGGCGTTACTTCAATATTACATACAAGAAACAAACAACGAGTAATCATTTAACTCTCCCTTTCTCAAACAAGTCAATGTCCAGTTGAAAATTGAAATAAATGCATACGAAGATAGCCTAAAGTCTGATCTTTCATAAATGACATGATTTCTTTTATCTGGCACCTCATTATTTTTCTAAAAAGTCTCCATCATATTTTGCTTTTTTCTACTTGTATTTATTGTGACGGTACATTCCAGAACTTTTGAACAAGTTTCATTGTAGTCAACAGTAGTTTTTGTTGTCTCTTTGAAAGACCATGTCAAGACGCAGAGCATGATAGAACTCGTTATATGAATTAAGATTTGTTACTATTATTTAAAACGGTACTTATATAATTCGAGTGCCATTTTTTGAGACATTGAACTTTTCTTCCACAAAGAATGAGAATTTTAAAAAAAAAGTTCTGTCATACCTTCCATTCTGACATGCTCTTTCAAACAAAAAATAATGAGTTTATAGAATGAAGGCCTACAGAAAATTTTTGGTTGCCAAATGAGCTATTTTTGACCCTTGCCAGTTGAATATCTTCAAAAAGGCATCATGGTATAAGACTGAAAATTTCATGCAATTTGAATATTCGTGGGCGAAGAACGTTTTTTGTGCGGGTCTTAGAGAAAATAAGAATTTCATGGTTCAATGTCAATTAAAGATCATTCGAAAAGCTAAAAGTATATACCTATCTTTACTGACGCCTTCTAATATTTCCCTAAAGATAAACTATCAAATCTTGATTCAAATAAAAAAGAAACAACTTTTATAAATGGTCAATTGCATCTAAAATAATCGAATTTTTTCACTCGAAATTTGAAATACACACAATAATTATAAGTTTTTTATTTTTTTCTAGTTAGTCAAACATTATCAGTATTACTTGGCAAAGGAAGTGAAATGTTAGAATTTTTAACAAATTATTTTCTATCAAAAGTTGTAACAAATTTACAAATGTGGGCATCTGAAAGTGATGTTATTAAAGAAACAGGTTTGAATAAAATAAAATAAAATAATCAAAATCTTTTTATTTTAATTAATCTTTCATTTCTTTTGTCTTTATCTTTTCCTAGCCGATCTATTTGTAACATTATCAATAAAAAAAGATTCATCATCAATAATAATAAAAAATGATTTATTTTGGACATTAGCAAATAATGTTATAACAAATCAAATGCCAATACAATTAATTAATGAAGAATATAAACGTTTATTAATAAAAGGTATAACATGTTCATGTTTAAATAATTCATCGGATGAATATCGTTTACATTTTGATCGTTCAATATTTCAAATTCTTAATCAACGTTTACATTCAATTGTTGAATCAATTCATACATTACTTGAACAAATTAAATTAAATAATAATAATAAAATTCATTGCACCAATGCATTACAAACATTTTATAGTGAAAATGTTTTAAGTCAAATAAGTACATTAATTAATTCATATTGTGGATTAATTGAAGGTGGTTCACGTTGTTCATCAGAACAAATAACATATTTATTTGAACATAGTCAACAAACATTGCAATATATACTTGATTTATTTGATTTTTATCATAATTATTGTGATCAAGTACAAATTATACTTGAATTATTTTCCTTATATGCTGAACATGTTTTGGTTTATTTAAATCAAAGTCATACGAATATTTTTTATACATATATATTAAGATTATTACAGATATTTACGAAATGTAATTATGGAAAAAAGACAAAAGAAATTAATGCCGACGAAGATTTTAATGCACATATTTATACGTTATTGAATTGTTTAAATCATCTATTGGCAAAAGATTTCATCGATTTTTCGAATGACAATTCAGCAAATACGTATGTAATTTTGTCTTTAAAGTATATTTTTTTCAGTTTGGAGTTAATCACAAACTATCAACATATTTTCGTCAAACACGATTTAAAATATTAAAATATAAGGATAACACTCTACTGTAGCTCATTGGATTGGTCTCGGATCTTTTGATCTGATTACTGTTTGAAAATTTTGAACCTAATGACCTCTACCTTCTACTTAGTTTATGACAGACACCTCAGTGTTTCGTCTCCCTTCTTATCAAAGCTCTCGATTAGAGAGGAATGTGAGGCTTACCGTCATAATGTTTGACTTTTTTCCTAATTTTTTACAGCTTCGTGTTAACTTTGGATAGAATCCGGGTTTTGAAACATCATTTGCCTTTCTCTGGCAAAAAGTGAAATAAAAATAAGTAGACAATGTCGTTGTGAGATGAATACGATTGAAATAAACTCCTCGAAAGGAACGACCTGGCGACAAGTCGTCTGTTTTTGGAGAGGCTAAGTCACGGTTTATGTCATTCTTCGCCTCCTCTTCCTATCCCGGGTCATCACTTCTAGCACTCTCAGGATGAAAACATTTTCTGCTAGGTTTTTAGCTCATCCCTTAAAGATATCGACAACCATGCTCGTCACGCATCGTGCCACGTGTACATGCGAAACCGAAGTCTATTGTAGAATTAATATGAAACACGACTGAATTTACGATATTTGCCTTTTGTCTTTCGTTCTCACTCACTATAGCATATAAAGATTAATAACATCTTTTATCATTGAGATATTTACAAACCGAAACATGTTGATAAATTTTCTCATTTACAATGTTAGCAGTTCTATCGTATTTTACAGTTTTATCATGCAGGGATTGCGATAACAGTTTTTTTTTTATATATAGTTTTCTCTTTGTTTTGATAAACTGTAGAAGTTTGGATCCTATTTTTCGTTTTTAGACATAAATTTATCTAACGAGTATACCACTGTGAATGGTTGTCTGAGTATTTTTCTAGGATGGCTAGTCTATTCTCATGATTTTAAAACAATGTAGTTTTTCAAAACATGTAGGTTTTAATTCTTTGATAACTCAAAAATCTACAACTTTTCAAGTTAGTTCTTTTGCGAAATTATATTCTGAGACTTTTAATTCATTCAAATTCATCAATTTAAATATTTCTAATCCTTATCAACATGCCCCTACTCACCCCAAAATCAGATCCATTTATTTCAAACACAATACCAAAATATTTCATGTGAACAATATTATTGGACTAATAATATTTTTTTGTACTCGATATGCTTCACTTTCGAATATCATGTTTTGTTAAACATTCATATGAAGTTAATTATATAATATATTCATCTATATTTAATACGTTTTATCCACAGTGATTCGATATTGTTACATAAGGTTATTTCTCTGCAGTAATCGTTTGCATATATTATACGATTTCTAAAGGTTATTCTCAATTCAGACAATGTCAAATGCTTAGCAGCAATAAAATACTTGAAATGCGTCTCAATGAAGTTGGTTTTTTTAAAGTATCAATCTGAAAAATCGAGCATTTCAGTGTCTTTCTTTCTTGTTCTATTCGGATTGATTATGCCCTATTTTTATTAATAAATATCGAACATAAAAGTGTTCATTCATCAAAGAAAATTCTTTATCTCCTGATAACATTATTGGATCTTCTAAATCACATGAAAAAAATGATTTTTTTAATGATTTGAGATAACTTAATTGTTCTAAGAGTTAGTAGTATAGATCAATGCACAGATTGACTGCAACGACTCAATCAATGGGCATACACTTTTACCAAAAACTCATTCAAATGTCTCTAATCTTTTGTTTATTAACCATTGTCTATCTGATAATGTTTATTGAATTATATAATGACAGAAAATATTCTAAATTTCATTCTTTTGTCTTTATTTACTTGTAGAGAAGTTAATGTTGGTGATGTTGTTCTATATGGCTTAATTATTTGTTTACCATTAATTCAATCAGATAATTTATTAAAAATACCTTCTATTAGTTCATGTTATTATAAACTTGTATCATCATTATGTGAACAACATTCTGAATGTATATTTCGTTTACTTAATCCAGATCAATATTCAATATTTTTATCAACAATAAAATTAGGTCTTGACAATTATGATAATGAGATATGTAAAATGTGTTTAGAAACAATTCAAAATTTAACATTATATACAATGAAACAACAAAAATTAAATCAAACTAATGAAAAAACAAAATATTTAGAACATTTTCTTGATTATCTTTTACAAGAAATTGTTATAACAACAACAACATTATCAGATTTATTTGATACATTAGCTGGAACAATATATACTTTAATATGCGCATATCCAAATCAATTCTATCATATTCTTGGACAAATGAAGCAATATGATGAAAATTTATCAATAATAATTGATAAATTAGCAAATGATATTGGACAAAAACCCGATTATAATCGTAAAGCTAAAATATCGTTTACAGTTAAATTTGAATCATTTGTTACAAATCTTAGACGAATTATGAAAAAATGATTAGAAGAACTCATTGTTAAAATTTATTCATTTGTTATGTTTTGTTTCTTTTATAAATTAAAAATTCCGTGAAACACATTCTTTTGATTATTGTGTAAAAAAATCTAAGATTCTCTTGTCAATCTAATTATTAGGCATTTAATTTGTTTGAAAAACAAATAAATTTATGCAAATATTTTTTATTGATAAATATATTAGAAACGAATAATTTATTTTCGGATTTCATTTTCTTTTAGATAAGTTAGTATTTATGTTTCCATTATTAATTATTGTTTTTAGTATTTTCTATCAATCATATCGAGTAACAGCATTTAACGAAAACATGGCTTGGCGTTCATCTGGTTCATCAAATAGAGAATTAATTGAAAATTTATATAGAAATGGTTTAATCAAAGATCAACGTATCAAAGAATCAATGTTACACATTGATCGAGCTGATTTTACCGATCGTACATCTGATGCTTACGAGGATCGACCTCAATCAAGTATTTTGAAGAAATTACATTCCTTCTATTACTAATCTTTACTTTATTTTTAGTTGGTTATGCGGTAAGTAGATATGCATTAGTAATAAATGATCTTTGAATTTTATTTATCACAATAACTTCTAGGTAACAATCAGGTAAGATTGTTATGCTAATAAAAAAAAAATATTTCGAAACATTATTATCTTTAGTGCTCCACATATGCATTGCTTTGGTTTGGAAATTCTCAAAGATCACTTAAAACCTGGTATTTATTGTTTTTAAATATCTTTATATAATATTTATTTTGATTGATCAGGTGCTAAGGTTCTTGATGTTGGCTCTGGTTCTGGATATTTAACAGCATGCATGGGACGTTTAGTTCGTCCAGGTGGTAAAGCAATTGGTATTGAACATATTCAAGAACTTGTTGATAAATCAATAATAAATATTAAAAAAAATAATAAAGATCTATTTGATGAAGGTGTTTTAGAAATTCATAAAGGTGATGGTCGACAAGGTTATGCTGCTGAAGCACCATATGATGCTATTCATGTTGGTGCAGCTGCACCTAATACTCCACATGAACTCATTCGTCAACTTAAAGTTGGTGGACGACTTGTATCACCTGTTGGAGGTGGGTTTGGTCAAGAAATGATAACATATGATAAAAAAGCTGATGGGACCTATAAAGAAGAAACTCATATGGGCGTTATGTATGTTCCATTAACTGATGAACAAAAACAATATGCAAATGCTGGAATACGAAAAGACTTATAGATGACAAATTTTCTTTGTTTCTCGTGATTTCATTAAAAAAGATACTCTTGCATATGCCTTGTTTTCTTGAATTGTAATATAATCTTGCTTGTTCTTAATTATTCTAGATTAGTATCATGCTAACAAGACGTCTTGTATCATCATTATTTTCGACAAAAAATTGTCGTTTTATCCAAACAAGTGTTATTGTGAATGCTAGTCAACAACAAAATTCTTCATCACCTTATGATAAATCTCTTTATGATTCAACACGAAAAAATTTATATATTAATAGTGAAACACGAGTAATATGTCAAGGTTTTACTGGTAAACAAGGAACATTTCATTCTCAACAAGCACTTGATTATGGAACAAAATTAGTTGGTGGTGTTAGTCCAAAAAAAGCTGGTACAAAACATCTAGGTTTACCAGTATTTAAAACAGTACATGATGCTATGAAACACACCGGTGCAACAGCTACAGTTATTTATGTTCCGCCACCGGGTGCAGCTGAAGCTATTCTTGAAGCTATGGATGCTGGTATTGGTTTAATTGTATGTATAACAGAAGGTATTCCACAACATGATATGGTTAAAGTTAAACATCAACTTGTAAGACAAAATAAATCACGTCTTGTTGGACCCAATTGTCCAGGTGTTATTGGTAAATATTAATATTTTAATGAAAATTAAACATAGGAATGCACCAATTCCTCGACCATGATATCAAAGATGACATTTTTTTTAGTATTGAAAACTTGTTGTTCTACCAATTTTTTATGATAAGTCTGCTCAATTTTCATTGCAATATTCGAAAAAATTGTTAGATCTCATCGAATCTACAATAAGAGTTTCGAAATAGGTCAACAGTTAGCATATTAAAGACAAGATCCAACTCATTCTATAAATCTTGCTTATTATTTAGACTCTGAATATTGGAAATATGTTACTTTTGGATATCGGTGCACTAATTTCTAGAATATCAGATCAAAACTAGCGTATCTGTCATATTGAGAATCTATACATTTATGTCAATTGTTTATTCCAGCTATAATCAAATTTGAATGTCCTATCCAATGCTATTAATTGATTTCTTCAAATATTTATAACAAGCTTATATTATTGGTCAGATTTCATGTTAAAAACTCTAATTTTCAACTAATTCCAAACCACTTATTTTATATTCGATGAAACCTAAGAATAGTTTCAGATAGAGCTATGAACATTGAGCACAACTATTATAAGCAATTGGCAGATCAACAACTTTCCTTAATACTAAAAAAAATGTTATCTTTGAAACTATGGTGTCAGAAATAGTACATCCGTAATTTAAATATTTGAATATTTAGCTCCTGGTAAATGTAAAATTGGAATTATGCCTGGCCATATTCATCGACCAGGCCCAATAGGTATTGTATCGCGTAGTGGTACACTGACTTATGAAGCTGTTCATCAAACTACACAAGTCGGTCTTGGTCAATCATTGTGTGTTGGTATTGGTGGTGATCCATTTAACGGTACTGATTTTATTGATTGTTTAGATTTATTTTTAAATGATCCGGCTACGCAAGGTATTATTCTTATTGGTGAAATTGGTGGTAATGCTGAAGAAGCAGCTGCTGAATATCTTAAAGAAAATAATATTGGATCGAAAGCTAAGCCTATAGTTGCTTTTATTGCGGGACAAACAGCTCCACCTGGTCGTCGTATGGGTCATGCTGGTGCTATTATAAGTGGAAAATCTGGTGGTGCTGAAGGAAAAATTCAAGCATTAAAAGATGCAAAAGTTAATGTTAGTGATTCTCCAGCTAAAATGGGTCAATTAATGCATAAATTATTAAAAGGATAAGAACAAACTTTTAGTCGAAAAAAAAAAAATAAACAAAATCGATGCGCGAGTTTTTTTAAAGCTCACACATTATTTTATCTTAGACGAAGAATTTCATTTATGTTAGCTTTTTCTTTTATTCTCATATTCTTTATATCTCTACTTTTTTATTGTTTATTTGGACGGATAACAGAATAGAATGTTATTGAGTTTATAAAATATGATGGGCTCCTTTTTTATTCGTTCTATATCAAATCAAAAAAAAAGAAACTAAGAAAAATAATTGATATTTTTTCTTCATCATCATCGTACGTTATTATATTCGGTCGCGTGCCAATGTGAGTGATGATGATGATGATGGCGATTAAAAGAAGGCATCCACATTCGACGACGACTTGTTTTCTTTTCTCTTTTGCATCGTACTATCGACGCTGTTGTCGTTTCTTTCTTCATTGCTTGTGATCAGAAAAAAAAAGAAAAGAAAAGAGACCCTTATATAAATGGAGTAAAGGTGAAACTGTTTCAAAAACATTTTTTTGACTCTATGAAAGCAAGTGTTGAATGAAAGAATGTTTTGCATTCCTTTGCTACAAATACCCATTTGTCGTTCTCAAAAGCAGCAACATTCAAGCATACATATTGCTTTTTTCGATTATTCATTTTTAGATCGAACTATAATGGCTTCAAACTGCACATCATCAAATTTTTCGAGTAATAACACCGAAACAACATCAAAAAGTAAAGATGATCTTTTAAGTGAAATTTTAACATGTGGTATTTGTCTATCTCGTATGACATCACCTTGTTGTCTTCCATGTGCACATTCATTTTGTCGTTCATGTTTACTTGATTATGCTCAAAACAATAATATGAATACATCAACACCAATAAATTATATTCTTTGTCCATATTGTAAATTTCAATTAAATTTTCGTTCATTTGAACATTTTGAATCTATGTTAATTATTAATCCAACACTTAAACAATTATGTGAAGCACTCGATGCATCCGTTTTAAATTCTGATCAACCACAATATCAAACAAGTGGTATTTATCGTGCCCGATGTCATACATGTTGTTTACTTAAAATGCTTAAAGTTTGTAAACATTGTTTTTTTATGCTTTGTGAAACATGTCGACGAACACATTTACTTGATGTTCATCGTGAAAGTAAAATACAATTAGATATACTTGATTCACATTTACGTTTAATTAATGAAAAACGTCTTCAAATGGATAAAATATCACAAAAATATGATGATATGAGACAACATATTAGAAACTATGTTGAAAGATTAATACGTGAAATAGAACAACAACGTGATCATGCTTTAGATATAATTAATGATCGACAACAATCAAACGATGAAGCTTTTTGGACAGGAAATGGTTTTGATAATGGTGAAAAATTAGATTTTTTTATATCATTACTTGAAACTGGTCAAAAAAAATTATCAGCAAAAAATATTACAGATAAAGAACTTATGGAATTATCTGATAATCTACAAACAATACCTGATGTTCATGAAGAAACAATTGAATCAATTCATTTTTCACAATTATCTTTAGAACTTGATGAAAAATTTCCAATGAAACAATTTATTCATATTTATGATAATGACATACCAACAACGACAACAAATAATTTTGAGAAATCAACAAATGATAATGAACAGACAGAATGTATTAAGACATAAATGTATAGTTTTTGTTATTTTAATTGTTTTTGACTTTTGTTTTCAAAAGGAAAATATACAAAGAAAAAAATATATATAAATGGATATAATAATAACTTTAGATTGATTAAAGATAAAATATTATTATTATTATTTCAAGATACATATCATATTTCTTTCTTGTCCTTGAAACTTGATGATTTATTTGTTAAAAAGAAACATATTTTTATTTCTCATTCTAAATAACTAACAAATCAATCTGAGACCTTCAAAAAAAAAAATTCTTAAGATTCACATTGATGGTATAAAGCTTGGTCTCTTACTCTGCAAACCCACTTTTTGGTCGTTTTTGAGAATGTAATTGTGTGCGTACATGGACAAGTATGAGTGCAGGTAAGAAGTCTTATCTTTACTTGCACCTCACATTCTTATCCACAATTACTAGAATAACCCATAACTAATATATGGCTTCTCAGAACGTTAAAACTTGATTAAAATGTAAATTCAATGTATGTATTATATATGATGCGTCAGGAGTTGCTCTACAAAACGGTACATGTACCTTTTCAAATAATGAGTGTTTGTCTTATCCGACAGAGTTCGTTGTCCTTCATTTATAACGTAATGCATGACTGCAATGTGAAGTCGAAATAAAATTGCCAGAATGATGATAATCGATTACAACCGCTATTCATCTAAAACAAGAAGAAACTGATTATTTTGTAATTTTTCAATAGAAAATTTAACTCTAAATTATTACTTATTTATTGTCTTGCCACATACATTGATGTCTGTTATCAATCATGTGGCGATGAAGAATTCGACATCGATGATAAAGATATTTTCAAGGTCATTATCAATATATTGTTGATCGGTATCAAAAATTAGCTGAATATTTGTGAAATGAATACCAAGTCTGTAGAAAGAATTAGCTAAAATAATATCTGATGAGTTTGATATTTATTTAATCTAAACATTTATTTCAGAAAACTTTGTTGAATGTTATATCTTTTTTCAAATGCCTGATGCAGTTCCACACCGTATTGCTGTCCTTCTCGATATACTAAATAGCTTTTAAATGTTTGACAACAAACAACATCGTAATGTCTTTTATCACTTCCAAACTTGGAACGCATGTCTGGATCTTGTTCATTCAATAGAATTCAATCGAGTTGATTTTTTCATACCAGCAACAATAGACAATATTATCGTTTCCATTGTCGTTCTTATATTCATGTTCATCCCGATATTGAACAATTGTCGATTTTCGTGTATAAGGACAGAATTAGATAAAAAATTAAAAAAATAAAACTGTTGTATTAGATTAGATTTTGATTATACAATAGGTGAAATTTCTGCATCAGATGAACTAAATCATCGAATAATCAATCGAGCTGTTCAATTAACAATGAATTGTTTATACAGAAAAAGAGATGAATCATCATGGAAAATTGCTAGAACTATTATTGTGGTTTGGACCGCAATTCAGGGTGAAATCTTGATTTTTTTGACCACTTAATATTTGAATTAAGTACGCTACCCCCCCCCCCCCCCCCCCCCCCCTTTCCTGGTTAAGGGGGGGGGGGTGGCTGACTAAATTAAAATAATAATAATAAAAAAAAAGAAATATTTCACGATGAGTTTGGGTAGAAACCACAATAGTTCGTTACCATTCTTTGAATAAAATATTCAGGAACTATGTACGTGAGTTGTTCGTATGTGAATTGAAACAGATGTTTCAACAAATAGTAGAGTTTTTAGAAGATCCTTACGAAAAAAAAAAACCATTTTTCTAATGTATAACTTCTTTGTATGCTGACCAGGGACCGTTTCCAAGTGATAGGCATCGTTCGGGCTTATATTTTGCTCATAAGTAGGACCCGGTGAGACTAAAAAAAGACTAAAATATTTCGTCCCATTAGGCTTTTCTTTCAAATTGATAACCGTTTTACTGAATTGTCGACCTAGAGTAAGGAATTTAGAGAAAAACTGAATGAAGGAATTTCGAGTTGAGATTTTGTCTAACAATAGGTATCATCGATATTAGAAAGTTGTAAAATCTTTAGTAAAAACTGATGCTTTCTTCTCGATATATTGCATGTTGAAGAAAACATCCATTTTCCAAAAATTATCGCAAAATTTTCTTTTCTTCAATACGCAATATCTCGAGAAGGAAGCATCAGTTTTAACTAAAGGTTTTACAATATTCTGATATCGATGATACCTATTGTTAGACAAAATCTCAACTCGAAATTCCTTCATTCGATTTGTCTCTAAATTCCTTACTCAAGGTCGAAAATTCAGTAAAATGATCATCACTTTGAAAGAAAGGCCTAATGGCACGAAATCTTTTAGTCTTTTTCTAGTCTCACTGGGTCCTATTTATGAGGAAAATATGAGCCCGAACGATGCGTATCACTTGGGAATGTTTCTTCGTGAGAACATCAAAAATCTTATCGAATACAATTCATTAACAATTAAAATCAAGGGGAAATATTTATTTAAACATCGTCGCCATAATTGAGATATCTGACCATAAAATCGTCATTTGTGTCTTCAATGTAGTCAGTTACGCTTTTTTTTTCATGTCTTTTTCTTCATTTATCTCATTCTCAGAAGATTCTCTTTAGTATTTATATGCATTTATTTGTAATTAGATCAAGAGATCTTTATCATTATGAAAATTGATATTTGTCGTAGTTTCCTATTGACTATTTCTGTGATATTTGAATAAATACATGTGTACAATGTGCATATTTAATGACGTAATAAGGAAGAAAAGAGGAAAAATTTTTAACTCTCATTAAAGAAAAAAGTTGATGAAACTTTTCTAGAGTCAATTTAATTCTTTTTAACAACAATTTTAGCAGAATATTCAATTGTTCTTGTTTCTAGTGATAATATGACTTAGACTGATTGGTTATATATCAAAATTTTTTAAATTCCAACTTTTATTTTTTTGTCTACAACATCATTTTATTTTTATGTGAATTTGACTTTATTTTCTTTAAAAGATGGAATATTTCTTGACAAAAACTGTTTGCCTTAATATCGCTCTGTGACAATGCGTGTTGCTTAATNTTCAATTTTTGCGAGCTAGGAATTCTTGTGGAGCAATAATAGTCTGTCTTATCGGACTGTGTTATCAATCGATTAAGAGTTACTGTTGGCACATCGTTCGATAGAATCTTCTACGGTGATGATTAGAATTAATTTTGCCATGAAGCAGAAGAATCAATTATTGTAACTCTTATCATATGGTGCTTTTTTTGCATAACAAGAAATACTGGTTTTTGATCAACAGATTGATATTCTTGTAAAACAGAAAAGTCTCTATGTTTTTTCATCTTCTAAGAATGATTTTTCTAGATATGTTCTAAAACTCTGAAAAAGACAGACCAAGACTGTCCCATTATTGAAATGTCATTTGTTAGTTGAATAACATAAGTATACAATGGAATCACTATTTTTCGACGACTTCTATCGATGTATTTTCAGCCAAATAACATTTATTGTTTGAATAATTATGAAATTTTAGAATTCATATAATTGTTCTCATTCTTTTTCTTGTTTATTTCAATAATTGAATGGCATACATGTTAAAACAGAATAAACTATTAACTTGAGAATTCTCTTTTACATCTTGCAGATGTATTCTAATCATAATTTTTATCATTTTTCCTTTCATCCTTATAAATTATTTTTCAGACCTTGATTTTTCTATCAATTAGAAAACTAGAAAACTTTTTCAATCACACATATATATATTTATATATATATATATATGTTTTTTTCTCTTTCGATTTTACAATAACAATGTACAGCCATTTTGTCCCTTAAGCATAATAACAAAGAAAAAAGAAATGTTTCACTTTATTCACTGATCAGTAATATAATTGTAAGACATTTTTGTGTCTCTAACCATTACATTAAAACAACAAGAAGAAGAAGAAGAGAAAAAGAAAAAAAATGTATTTTACCTTTATACTAATGTCATTTGAAGTCAATGTCATATATACTTACATAAAACAAAAAAGTGAAGACCATCATCAGCAAACTATTATAAACGAATCGTTGACAAAGAAATATTATCAATCAAAATGAAACATTCAATTGATGATGGTGTTCTTCAAACAAATCTTTTACACGCATTTCAAAAAAATAAAATAATGCAAGGAAAATTAAATGAACGCCAACGTTCATATTATGTAGATTTAATTAAAGATATGCAAGATCATAAGTTAAAAGAAAAATTAAATAAAGAATTATTATATACATGGAAAAAAGAAAGTTATGTTCGACAATTAAAAAAAAACCTACAAGACTATGAACGAAAACGTTTTGGTGTAAGAGATGCTTATTATGAATATCAAGCAAGAAATTTAGATTCTATTATAGCTGGTCAACAGGGTCTTGTTATACCACCGAAAGAAGAAGAACGTCGTTTAAATGTGAATACAAAATTTCGTCAATTTCTTGAAGATCATCCACTTCAAACAAAATCATCAATACGTCGTGTTGTTCAATCAGCTACTCCTGCTCCTGTTCCAGTAAAAGAAGAACAAAAACAAGAAGAAGACGATGCTCGTGGTGTAGAAGAAACATGGAAACAAATTCATGCGCAATCAGCTATCGGTTTAAGAAGAAAACGACCAAAATTATTACCGTCTATTCAACGTTCATCAACAATGGATGAAATTAGACGAAATAATACTCTAAATAAAATTCTTCTTCCACCTACTGTAGCTATTGTAGCTAGTTTACTTGTTACTACAACTCCTGAATTAATTAATGTACCGCAAGAAAAAGATAAAACCGCATTAGTACCGTTGAAATCAGCACCGATTGTTTCGTCAATGGTTGACGGTATTGAACCAGTGTTGATTTCGTCTGAAACATTAAAAAAACAGACTCGAGCTGATCTTGTTACAATGCGTAGTGTACGGCGACCACAAAAAAACCCAATAGATTTAAATATGACTTTTGAATCACGAAAACGTATTTATCAAATAAATAAACGTATGCATGGTTACCAATTATGTCATCGTAAATGTGCTTTACAATATAATTCACGATTTGATCGATCGGAAAAGATAGATGCAGCTGATGATGACGAAAATTTTCTTATTGAAATGAATGAAAATACACGACGAAGATACGAAGATAGACATCAATCGGATAAAGCTTTTGTTTAAATATAATTTTATTTTCTAAATAACAAATATATTTTAATGTCAGTTATTTTGACAAATGAATATAATTCTATAATAGTATTAATGAACCATATTTTAGTTGATTCATTCAATATACATATATGAAAAGATACTTACAGGATGACTTTTATTCATATTCATTTCAAATAAAAATCACATCATTCAATATATAACTATATATAGAACGATTGATTTCCGGTACGTTTAATGAACCATTGAAAATAGGAATTCGAGTCGGAAGTTTTCGACCATTTTCTTTCTTAATTTAGTAAGAAACAATCAGATAGTAGAGGCATTTGCTCAAAGGAAACTCGTTATTTTCAATAATTTTCTACTCAAAAATATGATCGACAAGTTCGACTATTTCATTGATTTAATTTATTATTTCCTTTTTTTATATAATTAATTAAAATGATTATTATAATTAAAAGGAACTATTCAAATATATATACAACAGAAAAATCTCATTCTGTCTTGAAAGAAAATAGAATGGAGTTACATTGGTCGGTAACTATTTCTGATATTTTCTTTTGTTTTACTACGCAAACACTTGGAAAAACATTGAAGTCAAAACAAATAGTAACGCTAGTAACTAGACAGGAATGAACACATAAACATTTTTATATTTCATTGTTAACATGGCAAACCTCGATAATTGTAATCGAGGAATTCAATTCTATCACCAAGAATCATTAGTGTGAATTTAACGTCCATTTAATGAATAATTGTCATTTATGTATCAGACAAGTCAAAATATTGTGAAATAAAACTTTTATTACTTATTATAATGAGAAAATTTTACTATGAAATATATATTAATAATTTTTTTATATGACAATAGATGGCAATAACCAGCAACAAAGTATTAAACACGCTGTATTTTAGAAAGATTTTCACATATAATAGATTAATCAGTAAACAAAAAAAAATCTATTGATATTGTAAAAATATTTATCGTCTCATTTTCATACACATTTTTAAACATGTATTCTTACAGATAAATCTATAGAATAGTTTATATTTTAACTTTGAAAATTCGATAAGAAAATGTAAGATATTATCATAGAAAAAAAAATTTTATTTATTGAAAAAAATTTATATTAATACATAACCCTATATACTTGCTTGCTAATGTATATGATGAAAATTAATTGTTTTCCTTTATGAGTGCATCAATATGTCAAATGAAAAATAAGAATATTGTATCAAAATAGTTAATGTTTTGTTAGATTATGAAATATTTTAAATGTTATCCTCTATCCAATATTATCATAGCATCAATTCTTGTAGTATGATACTAAATCAAATGCACTGTTAAATATATCGCATGAGAAATGTTACACTTCTTTTCTTTTTTAATTTCGAAAGTGTAGTAAACATAATTTACTAGTGAATTAGTTTGTTGCTATTGATGATAGTACAAGTAAAATAATTACTGAAATATTCTACCAGTGATATATTATTCAAGTATGGTACTAAGTCCCTATAATGCCTGTCATTTATATATTATTATGGTGAAAAGAAGTGAAAAAATATCTGCATTTGATTGATAAAATACTTAAGTTGATAATACGTAGGCTTCTTTATAAAATAATACTCGATATTGACTTCTTAATGAATATGTGTTTTAGATTACATGTTGAAATTTCTTTAGTTTTTCAGCGATAGTGTAACAGAGTTGAGAATTTGATTAATTACTTTCTAGAGAATGCCAAAAAGAATTACATGATTTATTTTATAAATATATATCCCAATTAACACGAGAATTCAATTGAATTTGAAATGTGTGTATGAGTTTAAAAAATTCTCTTCGAAAGAAACTTATAATAGGAACAATGCTTTATAAACAACGCGACACAAGAATTCACAAAATGAAGTCATTATATTAAACATCATAAGTAAAAAAAATTTTCGTGTTTTTTTTTTCTTTTGCCGTGTTCTCAACAAATCTGACCCAAAACTTACTGAGAATGATTATGGGTCGTATACCATGAATTATAGTATTTAGACAACAAAGTTAACTTTCAATTTCATTCGTGCTTACAACTATTCACTATGCTCTTATATCATAATTATAAGGCACATATACGATGCAATGAACTCTTGTTTTTTAAAAACAGCTTACATCAACTACCTAATCATCTGAATAAATACTTCAAAGAAAAAAACAATATTTTTTCAAAAACTTTCATCAACGATGCAATGTTCTCATGTCCTCGAGATGAAAAAGAAATACATTGAAAAAATTTATCCAATACAAAAAAAAAAACAATACATTTACTAACTATTGAATTTTCACCAATCATTCGATGTCTCCATATCTCAGAAATAAATAAAAAAAATTATTCTCGAAATAAATATTCTATTAAATAAAGTACATATAGTCAACTTATCATGGTTTATATATAGAATAACAAACTAAACGTATCTCTTTTGTCAAATTAACTTCGAAATACAATTAAATCATATTAGCAATAAATAAATTTTTTTATTTATACACTCACGATATGTGTTATAACAGAATTACTAAAACGGTATTCCAATCTCAACTATAGCCCGTCCAACAAGTCCGTGCGTGTGACTGTTTTTTGAATAACTCGAGAACGCAAACAGCTAGAGACCTGTAGCTTTCACCAATCGAAAGAGGAGGAGTTAGGGCGTCTTTTTCTCTGATAATGTATCAGACNTCTCGAAATAAATATTCTATTAAATAAAGTACATATAGTCAACTTATCATGGTTTATATATAGAATAACAAACTAAACGTATCTCTTTTGTCAAATTAACTTCGAAATACAATTAAATCATATTAGCAATAAATAAATTTTTTTATTTATACACTCACGATATGTGTTATAACAGAATTACTAAAACGGTATTCCAATCTCAACTAGTAATCATATCTGATATCATTCAGATCTAACATTTTTGAAGCATATTCAATTCTTTTCTTTTTTTAAATTCCCTTTTTTTTTTATAAAAATATGGATATAGTAACGTAACAGAACAGCAATAATAATTTGTTGAAATATTCGTGAATACTAGCCTTTCTTTTACATAATATTTGCAATGTTTTGAAATTTCTCATTCATATTTATCAGAAAAATAATAGACGAGATGTCTATATTAGATCACATAGTGTATTTGCTTTTCGTACTTCCATATATTGTTGATAGAATTTACACAATTTACTTTCTGTCAATTATTTAGAAGAAAAGAAATGAACGAATGAGTAGTCATTGCAATAAACAATGTATTTGTCACAACCAACAATCTAATAGATTTTCCAAACGTAATACAACATTATGTATTATTAATTATATAGAAGGTCGACATTTTCGACTGAACAAACATGTAATTTCTCGACATCCAAATATTTACATTGCGGTTGATTTACTGCATATGGAACAATCGTTAGTATCAATTGCAAGAATACGAGATGACATGGGAGCTCTAACTCTGAACTGTCGGAAATCAAGTCATAGCAGAAGAATATTTAATGAAATTGCAGCAAAGTTACGAAGAAGGTCGTATTGATATTCCAGCATTCTTGAAAGCTGCTTAATTGAGATATTTTCAACTTCCATCAAAAAAGTTAAACGGTCATCTCTCATTGTTTTTTGTTATTTGTTCATAAACGTATTTGGATTCTTTCTTTGTTCCGGTAATACATTGATTGTTACAATGACCATTCATTTGTCCATTTCTCTACTGTAAAATAATCAACGGAAAGTAAATCATACATGTGTGTTGATAGACAACTAAGCTATTGAATTTTTTTTGAATGATAGAAAATATTTATTTTTTTTTAGAAAGTGTCTTGGTTATAAATATTTTTTATATAATCAAAAATCGAAAAATAATCTGTAGTATTACAAAATTTAAACTTTTATTAAAACTATGAAGACCGTTTATTTACACAATGTAAGTTCAATTAACCAGGAATACAGTATGAAAACTAGTGAAACAATTAAATAGCTAATTAACTGAATTTGATCTTTTGATTTGACAGGTTGTCTTTTGTCCAATATGATAAACTCATATGTCATATTTTAACGACAAAAAGAAATGACTGTCATTTTATTTTCATGATATATAATGACCTCAAACATTTGGTATTGATTAAGTAGCTTATCATTTTCTTCTTGTAACAAAGTTGATTCTACAACCTCTAACAAAACATTACATGTCTAACGAAAAATAATTATGATTAATTATTGACACATGTAATGCTGGTAACATGATAATACGTTAGTTATTCGAAAACTACTTGTTATATTATTGTAAGAAGAATTGTTAGAAAGGTAAGATAATTTCGATAGATAATTTCTAGTTCATTTTCCCAAACATTAAAGAAATTATATGGAATTCAAAAACTTTTGTATAGTATTTCGATAGAATTCAAATGACCTAATTTTGTTTTACAAAGAAAAGAGAATTTTAAGTCTGTATAAAGCAAACGAATGAAGAATACTTTAGTTTCTACACTTATGACAACTAAAATTGTCCATCATATGCAATGAGAGAAAGTTTAATTTTCTCGCTATTGAAATTTCTCACATATGAATTCTCTGATTTCATAAAATATAGTTCTAAATATTTATGAGTGTGCTGGCATTCAAAAACTTAGCTATTTTTGCTTGGAAAATAAAGATATTACTTATAATTTTCTTCGAAAGTTTTTAATAATAATTGATTGTAGAAAATATTGCATTTCTATTCTGAGAGAACTTTACATTCATTATTTATAAGTGTTCTCTTAAAACAATTACTTGTCAAAAATTCAACCAAGTTTTGTTCTTAAAAGTTTTTCAAGAATAAATAAGAGACAACGTCATTTGTCAAATTTGTGTAACTAGATATTATTATCTAGGTTAATGATGGGTGATTGCTTCCGTCTTGAGACTTCCGGAAGATGGTGAGAACAGAAATGCCATGTCGGGATTCTCAATGGATGGATTTTTCTATTTTCAGAAAGTAGC